TTTTTTTTTTTTTTTTTTTTTTTTTTTTTTTTTTTTGAGAGGGTTTTGCCCTGTCGCAGGGCTGGAGGATAGTGGCTCAATCTTGGCTCACTGCAACCTCCGCCTCCCAGGTTCAAGCAATTCTGCATCATCCCGAGTAGCCGGGACTACAGGCACAAGTCACCACACCCAGACAATTTTTGTATTTTTAATAAAGATGGGGTTTCACCATGTTGGCCACCAGGATGGTCTCGATCTCTTGACCTTGTGATCTGCCCACCTCAGCCTCCCAAAGTTCTGGGATTACAGGCGTGAGCCACAGCACCCGGCCAGCTCAAGCCATTTTTAGTCCCATTCAGAGCAGAGGATTAGAGCTGGCACGGCTGCGTAGTGCTGAGATTGCAGTACTGTTAAAGATTATGAAGAGGGCTAAACATCGGCCACGACCTCAAAACTCACCTTAAAAAGAGGAATTAACATCTGCATTTTGCTTCATGCTTATAAGCCTGGTCATTGGAAGGCATTTATGTTTATTTTCAATAAACCCTTATTTGGAATCCACGTGAGAGTGTTTGGATTTTCTGTAGCTCTTGATTAGGGCTCAAATCCAGTGGATTTTTGCCATGAGATTTGTACTAAGAATAAAGTATTATGTCTGTCAAAGCACAACATTAAAAATGATAGGACGGGTAGTTCATGTGCACATGTAAAACTCATTCCTGAGGAACATCCCACACACTGGCACATATAAGCTATTCATAGAGAAGTCTGCATGGCATGCATGAATGCCCAAAGATCCCAGACTTTATTGCTTCGTCCTGTGGCCAGGCACCTGAATCGTAGTATAGCTTAGTTAAGAATTCTGTTCTGGTGTCAAAGAAGCCTGGGCTGAAGATCTAGACTCTGATGCTTAGTTGTGTTAGGTCAAGTTATTTAATTTCTCTAAACCTCAGTTTTCCTTTCTAATAAAGGGGGCTATTAATAGTGCCTGCCTCAGAGGGTTGTTGCAAAGATTAAATAATTTACACAAAGCATCTACCATAGAACATCATAGGCACTCCATAACTGGTGACTGACAATTCTTAGGAGGCAGATTTCAGGGGCTCTTGGGCAAGTCACTTAATCCCTGGGAGCCTCAGTTTCCTCTTCTATGAAATAGGGATATAACAGTGCTCATACTTTTTTTTTTTTTTTTTTTTTTTTTAGACAGAGTCTCACTCGGTTCCCCAGGCCGCAGTGCAGTGGCACAAGCTCGGCTCACTGCAACCTCCACCTCCCAGGTTCAAGCCATTCTCTTGCCTTAGCCCCCGAGTAGCTGGGTTTACAGGCACACGCCACCTTGCCTGGCTAATTTTTGTTTTTTTAGTAGAGATGGGTTTTCGCCATGTTGGCCAGGCTGGTCTTGAACTCCTGACCTCAGGTGATCTGCCTGCCTTGGCCTCCTTAAGTGCTGGAATTACAGGTATGAGCCACTGCGCCCAGCCTGCTCATATATTTCTTAGGGGTGTTGTGAGTGAGGGCTAAGCACAAGAACGCATATAGAGCCAGAAGTAGGGTACCTGGCATTTAGCAAGCACTCCAATGTGAGCTTTCTAATAATATGGCACTGAAAATATGGTTTGTTGAGTGAAGATTTGCCCAAGTACAGCCCTGCTTAAGAATGAATTCAAGCCCACCTTTCTTTTTCTGCAACAGACTAGACATACTATATTGTGTGGCATTTATACAAAATAAACTTCAGCTTAGGTCTTTTTCAGTTGTAGATTTTGTTCCTGAAAGGGGATAAGAGGCTCTCCAGTAAGGGCTGCATACATGATGCAAGAGGACCCAAGCCCCCTTTATGGTTATTACAATAGATGTGGACTCACTGAGCTGGCAGCTATTAAAATAAACCTAGGACCAGGCATTAATGATCAGAAAGCAAGAAGTGGTGCCTCCCGCAATTGGGTAGCTAACATAGATGAGGTGGAGTTTTTTGTTGTTGTTGTTGTTCTTTCTATTCTTGTTGTTCAATGATTTTTGAAATTTAATTTAAAGACAAAGTGGTTTTAATCTCTCCAAGCTGTGCAGGTTAGTGCTATAGAATTCATTATGTCCATTATGTTCATGCGAACGTTGATGGTACACAATCTTAGCAACACCCTAATTTATGCCGTTGTTTTGTTACTATTCAATGCATAACAGGATCCGTGAAGCCTGATTCCAGGTGAGAGAGCCAGAATACAGGTCAGCTTGTGCACAGCCGTGCTTCCTATTCCAAGGGCCCTCTGCACTCAGTGACTGGAAGCAGCGTACTACGGGTGCTCCGGACCGCCGGAGAAAGAAACGAGGGGTTTTCTTCCCAGAGGGGCAGTTTTCGTGGACGGTAAGTCATTTAAGGCTTTATTTTTGTATCAAAAGAGGTGCAGAGATGCTAAAGAGTCTATTAATTTGAAGGTATTTAAAAAACGTAAACTGCAAAGAGAGTTGTGGTATACAAGGGCCATTTCTGGCACTGCCCCCGGACTCCGGGAGGAATCAATTCAGTTTCCTCTGTCATTACAGATACTTTAGGAGATTTTTTTTTTTGAAGTACTGCTATACCGTATCATAGATTTTCAAGCCTCCATGTTACTGGCGTAAATTCTATTTCTCCTTTGAAGTTTGTAAACACAGTATTTCTAATTTGCTCTTGAGATTTTTAATAGTTAACATCGATACATGGTAATAAAAGCCAAATAGTAAAGAAAAGACGTAAAATGAAAAGTAAACATCTTCCTGTCCTGCCTCTCTCATCACTAGCCCCCTCCTCAAAAGTCACCATTATTGGCAATTTCTTGGCTATTCATCACCCTAAAATTAGTAAATATTGTTGTAACGGCTGCTGATTTGTTTTATCGGAATCGTGTTCTGACCACTTGGATTCAAAATGGCATGATTCTTTTAGAACCGAGTCGGACTGCAGGGTACCAGTACTAACAGAAGCTGTCGGAGTCAGGAGGGCAGGGAAAGGGGTAGCTTCCAGACTCTGGGCAAGGATTTCTAAGTGTGACACTTTATTAAAATCCTAACCCAGGATTTTTTTTTTGGGGGGGGTTAATTTTGGTCGCTGAATGGCCAGGGGGCAAGTCATTTCTAACAACAGGGTCTTAGTTTCTCATTTTTGAATGGAGAAATTTGGGGAAGAGACAAACTCTAAAGTCCCTTATAGTTTAGATGTCCTCTAGCTCCGTCATTTTTTACAGAAAGCAGAACCAGTGAAAGGACTGGCATTAGGCTACTTAATCCTTTCAGAGAACATTTTAAAATATCTAACACAATTGTAAATGAATAGTCTCTGACTCAGAGCAGTCATTTACAGACTGTGTGGGTAGGTTGGCATTGACAAGTAAAATTACGAATGTAAAGATTTACATTAATTTCAGGACCAAGAAGCTGAGCAACAAATTACAGCTCGGTGTTTGGGTCAGAGGTGCTCTGATTTACCTCAAAATAATTAACATCTGTCTTCTCAAAGCCTCATCTTATTATGTGTAATGTGCACTTCCGTATGCAGGTTGAGATTTATTTGAACAACAAATATTAGACGCTGCAATTTCGGACACAAAAATGCCTTGTGTTCCACTCCAAATGTTTGGAGGAGCTTTCTTATCATTTTAGCCATTATTTGCTTTATGTGCAGGTGAACAAGGTCAGATGCATGGTGCTCCTCTTAGCCAAAGGCTTAAAAGAGCCTTTGGTATCCCAGCAACAAATATAAACAGTGTTCAAACAACAGATTGGGCAGTTGCTTTCACTGGACCCTCATTGCAGATGAAACTGAGTTACATTAAAGGAGTCTATTAATCCTTGGCTTTTCCATGGCTATCAGGGAAGGGAACAGAGGAACGGGGGGTTGTTTTGATGGCAAGCATCCATCCTGGGATTTCATTTCCTTGGGCAACTTTCGTAACATGGGGAGAAAATTTATCTCTATTGAGATTTTAGACAACATGCAGAATCTGATCACAGATCAGATACGTTACACTGTCTCTAACGTTTTCACTCCCAGAACGGAGATGTTATGGTTGCAAAGACATAACCAGAGCAAAGTATCAGTTAGATAGCTGTTGACTGATAACTTCTGAAGGTCTCCTGTTTGGGAATGGAAAGGAAAACTCTTCTGTCTAAACGAGCTCCAATGTCCGGTTTGGCAAGAAGCAGGGACATCTCATGGGCAGAGGCACAGGCAGATGTACTGTGGAGCTAACATGCATCCACTTCAGAGAGACCCCTTGCATGAATCCCTCCCTAGCCCGAACAATAAATTCATTTGGTCATATGGTTTGGCAACATTTTCAAAAGATATATTTTGTGTTTTTAAAAAGAGGGAGCCAAAATTATATAAGCTGACACTTCCACAAAACCCAGATCCAGTCCTGCTCGTGGAGCTGGAGTAGATGAAGGGATCT